GAAAAGAACAAATGAATGAAGTCAAATCAATACTTGAAAACACCTCCAAGTAAGTGCCTGAATATCTGACTGTTCATACACAGTGTTCACACCATAGTTTAGAGGACTAGGTATTTTTTTCAAATTCTTAGAAGTGCCAAAAAGTTCTTGACTTCACTGGAAAAGCTAGAATCCCATCCTGCATACCTACACCTTTGATTTTGTGGTGTTAGTCTCCAGAATCACAAAGATTTACTTCAGTGCAGTGAGTTCCAGCTTTGCAATTGTGTTCTATTTTATTCCTTTTAGCTTAGGTCTAGCACTTGCTATGACAGGTGTTAAAAAATTAGGATATAAAGCATTTTTTTCATTTTCTTTGCATGTTAAAATGGGTACCCGATTGCTCTCTTCCTGCACAAACGGTGAATATTTCCTCAAAGCAATTTCAAATGTAGTTTTATAAGTACCGGATTTGCCATCTTGAAGGCTTTGAGAATCACAGATTTTTTTTTTCATTTGCAAATACAAATGTCACTTGGTAAATAGAATATTTCGCTAAAACACAACAATAGCTCTTCAGTTGAGTCTCCTGGGCTTTTCCTTTCCTCAGATCAGCCAACTTCAAGAACTTCACCTTCATCCAGCTAAATGAAGAATTTTCAAGAGGAAAAGGATTAGACGTTGGTGCTCGAGTCTGGAAAGGAAACAACGTTGTTCTCTTTTTTTGTGATGTGGACATATACTTCACAGCTGAATTCCTGAACTCCTGTAGATTGAACACACAGCCAGGTACTGGGACTTACAAAATGCATAGTAGTTTTTTTCAGCAGATTTTTGGTTACAGTGTAATAGCCTTCACCAGAGTGGGCTTGACTTTGAATTGATAATGAAGCTGCTGTAAATCTTTCCTGAAATGCAGGGGCTAATTAAGGCACATATAGAAATTCCATTTGTGGTTGCCTTTCAAAAGATTGTAGCTCCTCCGCTTCTCCTGTGATTGGATTCTTCCATACAAGGAATATAGGCTCAGTCTATACCTTGCGTGACCTCATCTGGGTTTGATCCAGCATCTTACAGAAAAGGGAAGTGTGCTTTATACAGCGTTTTAAAAAATGAATCTGTTGTCTTTTCTAGGCAAGAAAGTGTTTTATCCTGTTCTCTTCAGCCAGTATAACCCCAGTATAATTTATGGCCACCACGATTCCATCCCACCCTTAGAACAGCAGCTGGTAAGTACCTGTTCCTTTAACATTCCCTACCTGTTCCTGCTTTTCCCGAGACGAGGCTTTCATTTTTGAAGGTTGCACGCACTCTGGGGTGGTGTTTCCCTATTCCTGTGCAAAGTGATGTCCTGCACAGATAAAATAAACCACTGCAGTTGTCTCACAGCTTGGGCCAGCAAGTTCAGGTGAATCCCAGCAGTTGCTTGGCTGCCTTCTCCATCCTCCTATGCTCTGGCACTGCACTGTGTGGACACTAAAGGAGTGATAGGAGTGTCTTTATGTATACAGCCAACCTATCCTAAAATCTAACCAGCCAACCTACCCTAAAATCAACCATCCTATCTCCAGAATATCCCAACCTCCATAACTGTTCTCAGTTCTCTCTTCTTTCTCTGATGGGAATCATCTAGAGATTCTCATGCTTGCACTTAGGAGAGGAAATAGTGTTTAGTTCTCAAGCTAGCATAAACTGCACAGAACCTGTTGTCAGAATTATGCAAATATTTATAGCTAATGCTTGAGTTGTAAAATGTGATGCTCATGTCAAAAAGCTTCTCAATTTAAAGAAGTACTGCCAATCTCGTTTTATGCATTTTTTTATATATTCGGCCCACATGAGTTCCTGGGCATAAGGCCAGGTCTGTGCCATTAAAACAAGACAGACTTAGCTGTCTGTATCCCAGGTTGCTGAGAAATGAACCTTCAGAAAGCTTTGAAAGCAATTGATTTGTGCAGCAGCCACTTGCACTAATGGGAAATAATAATGCTGATGCATACAAATAGCTTGGCATAACGGCATCATGATGAAGATTTCCTGTTACAGCGCAGACCTGATGGGTACGCTCTTCTTTTCTCTTAAGCGGCTTTTGCAGTGGTTTGAGTTTGTCAAAGAAAGGAGAAATGAGAAAAGAAAGGGATAGAAATCGGAACAGAAAAATAAAAAAGTCCCCCAAATGGCAAGGTTTATGAGCAAAAAGGAGAAATGGGACAGAGAAAGAGGATATTGAGAGGAATTTTATCTCACCTGGAAATCGGGTTTTTTGATTAAAGAAATGCTGGGATTTGTATGTTTAGAAATGGAAACCCTGTCTCATCTGCTTCTGTAATTTTGTGGCAAATGAAGGCAAAATTTTCAAAAATAGCTGCTCAAGAGTCATTGCATAAGCAGGAGTGTGCAGTACTGCTGAGTGGCTTGTAGGATTACATGTCTTTTCCAATCTCTTGCAACTCTTGGGTGTTTCAGCACATTGGGTTACATGATGACCTTCGGATCTAACCTTGGATATCTGCTTTTGGAAATGCCAGCCACGGTGTCTCACTGCAGTGATTTACTACCTGGAATAATACATGATGTTTCCATAGTCCATCTTCACAGTGTAGACTGCAAATGCATTGTGATAGAGGATTTGATGGCGTATATAATCCCCACCTGACACTTCTGAACTGCAGTTGGAGTTGAATTTTTTTTTTTCCTTTGGCAGTAATTCTGTAATGGAAAATTATTTTCACCACTTCCCTAATTTTTGTCAAAATTTCGGAGATCAAAAAGCTGTCAGTTGTGCGATCAGATTAGAACTGCTATTTTCTCCTAGCGCTCTTGTGGTCCAGAATGTAGATGCCACCATCTGCTCTGCAGCACAGTCTGGCTTCCTTGACTTACCAGTACATTTTCTGTGTCAGCTTTGAATCGTGCAGAAAGAAACTTAATTTAGGAGGAAATTTTGCCTGTGAAAAAGGAAAACGCCAGAGATTGAGGTGATATTGCTGTACTCAGTCTACAGCAGCACTTGTTCCAAGGGGTAAAGTCAAACCTGACCATTCCAGATCAACGGTTTTATCTGTAATAGCTAAAGACAAAACTGGTATTTTGGGCAGGAGTATGCAATGAGCATCTACAGAAATTGGATCGGGTCCCTCAGTGGTTTTATGTGGAGCAGAATAAGATGGAATAGAATAAAATGCTCTTATTTCCACACCCAGAAGCTTATTTCTCTCTTGCTCAGACCGAAAGTGTTTTTGCTCCCATATAAATGATAATTTTCCCCATGCAGATTATTAAAAAAGAAACTGGATTTTGGAGAGACTTCGGGTTTGGGATGACCTGCCAGTACAGATCTGATTTTATCAACATTGGTAAGAAAAATTGCATTAAAATACATCAACCTTTGTACTAAAACATAAAAAACTGTGATCAGCTTCTCTCTGAAGGGGAACTGAGGGGAAATTTATGCCCCTCTTTAGCAGCAGTGCTCTCAGCAATGCTCTGGCTACACTTTCAGACCATTCCCAGGTGCCATAGGGGCTACCAGAAACTAAGCCCTGCTCAGGACAAATAGAGCACTTTTGCATGATGGTAAAAGATTCTATTTAAGTTGAAGAATGTGGATAATTTATGGTGTTGCGAGGGACTGTGGCTCCTTGAAAGAGCTAACCGGACCCATAAAATACAGCAGTATCAAGTCTGCAAGTGGAAAGCATGCATTTCCAATGTCATTTTGGATTTTCTTTGTGCCAGGTGGCTTTGATCTGGACATTAAAGGCTGGGGTGGAGAAGATGTGCACCTGTACCGCAAATACCTCCACAGCAACCTCATCGTGGTCAGAACACCTGTCAGGAGTCTCTTCCACCTCTGGCATGAGAAGCGATGTCCGGATGAGCTGACCCCAGAGCAGTACAAAATGTGCATGCAGTCCAAGGCCATGAACGAGGCTTCTCATGGCCAGCTGGGAATGCTGGTTTTCAGGCAAGAGATTGAGACCCACCTCCACAGGCAGAAGCTGAGCAGTAAAAAGACATGAAGCCCGAAAGACAGACAAAAAGCCTCCAAACGGACTTCAGGGCGTTGTGGAAAAGAACTGCTACCAAGAATAAGACTGAAGGAGAATGAAGCTTCCAGCCGGCCAATGGCAAAGGAAGATGAGGGAAATTGTTTGTCTTCTGGGTTTTCTTAGTAGGGCTTTTAAGTACTCTATTAGCCTGCCAGTCCCACAGCTGCTTCTTCCACTGGGGAAGATGGGAATAGTTGATGAGACTCAAGGGTACGCAGGCTATGGAAGCTGTGAATGTTACATAAATGCCAGCGTGATCTTCGCAGTAACAAGTGGATGTGCTCTGCTCTCTTGAAACATTCGTAAGATTGCTTCAAGTTGCTTCAAGGACTGACCTTCGAAACGGCCAGTAATGAGGAGTTGTTTTTTTACGTCTGATATATTCAAAAAGGGCTACTTTCTAGTAAGTACAGAGCTGCTTCTTGGAGAAGCAGAGCTCTGGCTGTTGCAGTGGTTAAACTGGAGTGACCAAAATGTTTTTTACTTAAGGACTTTCCGAAAAGTTATTCCCAGTTCCTTCAGAGACAAGAGGCATCACACAAAGTGCTTTCTAACTGTCCGCAAAAAGCAGGACCAAGCAGCCAAGTGTGACCCCCCCCAGAAAAAAACAGACAGTAATTCATTTTGTGCTGTGGACAGTGAACCCAAAGCAATGAGCCATATCTCTATCAACTCAAGATGATGGTGTTCTTTTTTTTTTAATTTAGAATACTGTAAGTATTTTGAGATTTATTTTAAATTAAGATTGTTTTGTTTGGAAATTACTTTTTCCTATTCAGGTTTTTTACTTCTGGCCTTATAAGGAAACAACACAGGCTTCCAATATTTGGAAAATAAGCTGCCAATCTGTTGTTCTTCTCGTGGATAGGAATTTGGTTCGGAGAAATCAAGTGATTTTTCTGCAGAACTGAAGTGCTGCAAGGAAGAAGCTTTACTGTTCTGAAGAAACGGGAAGATATTTCAACTTGCAGCACAGATTTAGCGGGAGACTTTAAACTGAATGCCAGCTACCAAACGAATGAACATTTTGTGACATTATACCAAAGCATTTCTTCTCAACCAAATCTAGAGTTTTTCCCAGGGCTTAGGAAGTTTTTTATAGTTAACAAAATAAATGACTTTTTGTGATTGATTCCTGGACCCTGCAAATGCTCTTATGGTAATTATAGGCTCATCCTAGAAATTACTCTCCTTTTTAGTAGATTTTTTCAATTGCCTAGAACTGTTGAAAACATGAATTATTGTTACTACAAAGCATTTTCTCTTTATGTGACTGCTGTTTATCATTTTTAATTTACTAGCCAACAGAAAAATGTATGGACTTGGCAATCCTATTTCCCTACCTAAATGCTGTTTTTCCCAGCAGTCACTTTGTTTTACAGCTGCAGGTTAATTTGAGGTAGTCTGAAATCAGGAAGACACGTGTTTGTTTGCCTTTTGTTAGATGCAAGAGATCTTCATTGCGCTACCCTTGCAAAATACCAAATATCCCCAAAGGTCCCCAAAAAATAGAAGAATCTTGAAGGTGTCTGGAGGGCAGCCATTCTAGCAAGGGTGATGCCATTGCAGCCAGTGTCGGAACATAAGTGTAATAAACTTCAGGTTTTCTTCACAGCAGTTATGTGAAGCAAAGAGTCTTTCAACACCAAGTCTGGTTTCCTCAAACGCACAGGATAGGTGCTCTTCACTTGGCAACAGATGCTAACTTTTCTCTAGAGATACAGATTGCCGAACAACCTTTTTTTGGCTATGTTTATCCAAAGAAAACAGTTCAGTAAGCCATGAATGGCTCCTGCCTGTGGTTGATGATGCAGATTATCTTTAAAATAGCTATTTGATCCATGGGATATCAAAACGCTCAAGAAACTCCATAATTCATTTGCCCTGAGAGAGTGTTGTTACATTCAAAAGCTCACTTTACGTCAGGGCTTTATCTCTAGCAAGTTAAACCTGCTCTAACTGGAGTGCAGATTTCAGCTTCCTTCCTTTGCATGGAAATGACTTACTAACATAGCCGTGAATTTTAAGACCAAGTGATCACAAGACTTTCTTTTAATCTGTATCCTGCAGAATGCAGGTGAACATACCCTCCAAGTCCTGTCTTGACTCTGGATCCTGTCATAGGCCAAAGGGAGATTTTAGAAGGACTGAGATTTGAAAGTGGTGGCAGAAGTAGCCCCTTCAAATTGGCATTTCAATGTATAGCCTCAGTTGTATATGTAAAGAGTAATTGAACCGACACAAAGGGAAAACATTATCCTGAGAGGAAAAAATCTGAGTTAAAGTTCACACCCGACACATCCCAGTGGTTTGGACGCAATTTGCAATAAATAACTTCATTCTGGAAAATAACATTCTTTACTGGCAAATACTCCTCTGTAAACTGAACTAATACTGATAGAGGCACCAATTCTTAAGTCGCTTAGACTCTGTACATTTGACTTTCAGACAAATTCCCACATCCCTTCCTTCCCTGGTTGATCTCTGTCCATGCAGAAAGGCCATTGTGTGATTAGACACAGGATAAACAAGTGTATATCTGTATTCAGAGACTAGAGGAGTTAAAAAAAAATGCACGTTTCGTGAAAATCCCATTTCACAGGCAGGTTTCATTTAGGGTCACCGAGGATGTTTTGCTAAACACACCTGTTTCCAAGGGCACAGCATCTTACATGATTAAGCTTTACATGCAGCAATTTACTCCCAAGATTGATCCACCTCTGCGGGTTGTTTTGTGCCCTTGGGAAGGTATGATACTGCATTGTAGGTAGCGATCTCTCTCCCAGATGTTACACAAGAGGCGTTTCCAGAGCAAGAGGCAGCTCGAGCATAGTCACCCCCCAGGGACCCACAAAAACGCCTGGAAAATGTGTGGCAGCATGTCCCCATGCAACTGATTGCTCTGTCCTGTAATGCACTCTGATGTGTGCATTGCATCTGGGTGGTTTGTAATGTGCTGGGCTGCTGCATCCTTTGGTTCAGCTGCTAGGACAAGCCCACAACAGCCCTTATCCTCCCACAGCTTTGCTATGAAGGATTTGAAATAGAGGCGCTTATGGCAGCAATTTCAGGTAAGCTTCGGCAGCTGTACGTCGAAGCAGAGTCTTTATGGAAACAGGCTCAGGGTTGCGTAGCGAGAGTGGGAGCTTCATTCAAAGAGAGCCAGGTAATCGGGTTCTTGGTCCTCTTGGCCACATGGGTAAAGCAGCAGCTCCTTCCCCAAAGAAGTGATGGGCTCCTCCTGTTGACAGAGGATACAGTTAAAATGCTACCTTCAAAATAGGCCACTATGCCCCTGATCTGTCCCAAAATTCCTGGAAGAGGCAGTGGTCTCAAGCTGCTGTTAGCCTGAGGACCTGATTATCTCACTGTGTGTTAGAGCTCAGGGAACTCAGGGGAAACAGCTGCCTTCACAGAAGAGTATTTGTGCGCTGTGCAATCACGCAGAGCGGGATTCTGGCAGCTCTTGGGAAGAGCTGTGTTTATTTTGTAGGCAAACTCAGCTCAGTAGAGTGTGAAAGGCCGCCCTGTCTGCAGAGGGCTGGGGTGGGGACTGTGCAGCGAGCAGGTAAGCAGGGCCGCAAGCCCGGTGTGCTGTGTGCTAGCGCGGTCGCAGGTGCAGGAGTGTCACCATCTGGCTTTGGCCATCAGGAATGCTATCCTGGCATCATGAATGCCAAGGGTAGATCCTGGAAGGGATGTGTGCCCCCTTCTCACATGAGCCCTGTTCAAACACAGGAGCTTCCTGTGGGTTTAATTCTGTCTTTAACATAGACGTATCCATCCTGACTTCAAACTGGATGGGGCAGCACTAGCTGTCTAGCTCTTGCTTTCAAGAATTCAGCCCACACTGGGAAGCAGACATGGAAAGAAACATAAAGAAGCCGCCTTTGCCTTTCATTATGTGCAACGTGGCATACTCAACATCATGTCTTTTCTGTTTTAAAACTATTGAGAGACCTTGTTGTCTTTTATTCTGAAGGTAGAGATGAGTGATATTTTCTGCCTGTAGAACTTGCTGTGACACCCAACAACAGAGAGATACCGAAACGCAGTCTGAGTAATTCTGCCACTGTCACCTAATCAGCATTTGTATTAAATAGCATGTGGTAATCTGAGCCCCAGGTGCCAAGTGTTCTGCACACTTTGGAGAGAGTAATGGAACAATTCCGGTTCCTAAACATTTGAGATGCCCTAGACATCCCCATAGGACAGCACATAAAATGTGGGACTTCTTACAGGGAGAGCTGCACCCTTCTGGAACAGCACATAGGATACCCAATGATAGCTAAAATAGCTTTATGTGATGACATAAATGTGATGACAACCTAATCTCTCCCTTTTTGTCTTAAAATGCCCTGAGGCAATTAAAAAAAGTAGTTAATGAGCGTATTACTAGAGATTCACCTTGTGGTAGTCAACAAGGTCAGCCAGTGATGAATGTTGTAGCTGGTCCACTCCAAGGAAGCTATAGGAATCACCAGAGGCATCAATAAGGAAGTGTTTACATCCCTGCACAGACTGGTAGGAGAGCACGTATCCTTTGATTTTTTCACTCACACGGACCAGAAAGCTCCCAGGCATTGCTTTACTCAGCAGGTCCTCTGCTTTCTTGGAGGTTAGGATACCTGTTGAAAACCAAGACACAGAATCCAAGGGATATATCCCTATTAGGTATGTGTTATTTGGGATTCAGGACATAGCGGTTCAGTCTATTTTATGTCAAACTCAAATGGGTACAGGATATTTTGAAGATCTGACCTCTGCTGTGACACCTGAGCTTGTCCGTTGTCGTAATGCTAGGGGAATTTGAACCATATTCCTATGGGCAGAATGGCCAGGACTCACCGTGGAACCAAGGCGCGATTGTGTCCCTTGTTCTCTCATAGCCGGCTCGGAGAGGAAACTGCTCCTCCTTGAACCACTTAATGATGCTTTTTTCAGTGGAATTGGACACTGTCCTGTGGATGCCCTCTTTCCTGTAACAAAAAGACTGTCATCGTGAATTTGTGAAGAAAGTATCTGGACTCTCTAAAAGCTCAGTGCCATAGGGTTAGCTGGGTGGTTTCGGAAGGAGCTGTTACCAAGAAGAGGAGAGCCAAAGGAGCAGGACTCCTGTCTAACTGGCCTGGGGGGGGCTCTGCAGTGGTCTAGGCTCTGTATTTTTCCCCCCAGTCCATCTGCTCCATGTGAAAAGGCCAGCCTTTCTCACCTTCTTGCTGCAGCAGAAGAATCCCGGCACTTCTGCCCTTGCCTTCCCCTAGGGATGTGCAGGTTTCCTTACCTGGTTGCTCTTCCGTTGGCCGGGGCAGGAGGTATAAGCGCAGGCTTGGGTGGGAGAGGCGGGTACCGGAGCGGACTCTGGTTGCTTGCCCCGGCACTCTTGGAAACGTCTCCCTGCCTTCCCCTGCGGATGCCCTGCAATGAAAGCCTCCGGTAGTCATCCCTGGCTTGCTGGGCCAGTGAGCGTCTCTTCTCATCTGCTGCCTTGGATTTCCGCACTGAAACAAAAAAAGAGAGTCCCACATGAGTGGAAATGCAGGGAACTTTCAAACTTGCTGCCTCTTAGCTGTCTCCCTGCTTGCTTTTATGGAAAGCAGAGAACTGGGCTGGGTAATTTTTTAATTGATGAAAAGCTGCCTTGAATATCCAGGTTGATGAGAGTGTGGTAGCTCATTCTGGAGTCTATAGGAGTTACCAGCTCAGTTACCTAACTGACCAGCCTGTCACTTAGGCCAGTTTTTTCTTCCTTTTGTAGTCGGCCTGGGATATTTTTATTAGGAAAAATAAAACCCCTGTCTTGAAGTGAAAGCAATCGGTAGGAGAGCATTGCCATCTACTGAGCAGCAAGGGAGGAACTAGGGAAGAAATGCATTCAGTTTTCCTTCAATATTATTTCTCCCCAGGAGGGGAGGATGAAAGGAGCAGAATCTGAATCTGGGTAGAAGAACAAAAGGTAAGCAAAGTGTGAGGGCATTTCTCAGTATTTTTTACACACCAAGCTTGTGATGTTTCATTCCAGCCTCTGTGGAAGCTGGACAACAAGACTCCAGAAAAGGAATCAAATAAAAAGACCTTTTTAGATTATACCATTTTTTAAAATTGCCTTTAAAGTACTGGTTTCTCTGGGAGATCCTAGAAAACAAAATGTGAAATAACTTAAATAGGAATTTCAGAAAGTTTCTGGCAGCAGTAATGGATGTTACAGTCTCCTAGTGTCTGCCATGTTCTTTCCTGTCCTCTAGATTCATTACAGTCCATGTCCTGGCCCAACTCTAGTCTTAAGTGTTGTGTTTTGATAATACAGAATTATATTTCTTGGCAGTGCTGTCCACTCCCTGACAGAATATCTGGTTCCATTTATGCAGGAGAATGATTGACATGACCGCGTAGAGCCTTAAGGTTACCGGAGCCCCAGAAGGAAAGATCAGCCTAAGACCTTACAGGATTCTTGCCATTCAGGCTCAGTCTCGTCTGATTTCTGCAGCGTGCTCTGGCTCTCCAAACTTGCACCTCTCTGTGCCTCTGGTGTCTTGTTAGAGGCTGTGGTCTCTCCTTCTTCATTTTCCTTCTGTGCTTCCTTAGTCTAGGAAAGAAGCAATATGTTCAGTGCGTGGCCCCAGCCTAGATTTTAGTCCTGCTTTTTAGCTGGTCTTCAAATACTGGGAACTCCATTCTGCAGCATGAACCCCTGTGATTCCTCAATCCAAACCCTCTTTCTTTACTGCAGGTTACAAGGGGAAAAGGAGGGGAAAACAGCCCATCAGAAATGCCAGGATCCCCTCCCCTTTTCACTCCCCAGTCTGCTGTGGCAACACTGCCTGAAACGGGTCCAAGAGGTGAGGGGTCCGACCCGTTCAGCCTGGATGAGGCTAGGAGGCTGGCAGGGCTTCCAGGATAATGTGTGGGCCTGACCTGATGTCTTAGGAGCATCCTAGCTGACTGCTTACCTGCTGGAAACCCCACTTCCTCCTGTAGCAGTCGGCCAGCATCTGGTGAACTCCCCTGGCTTCCCTCTGGGCACAGAAAAGAAGGCGCAGTGAGAAAGGGACACAGCTTCAGGACTGTCATTCTTTTTTGGAGCTTTTTGCCAAAAATCCCCAATGAGCATTTGGGGGATTTGCAGGCCGTAAAGCTTCCCTCTACACAAAGCAAACGCTGCCAGAACCTGTCATCGAGTGCTTTACCTGCCCATGCTCGTTCGCCACTTTGCCTTGGTGTTGCAAACCCCGACATGTGGGACTGACCCAACCAGCTGCGTATCTCCCGTTCCTGCTCCCCTGCAAACCAGTTTAGCTGCCCTGGCAGAAGCCAGTAGCCAAGACTTGCCTTTTAAGAGAAACAGTCAGACTTATCTTTGAGCAAACACACGCTGACCCTTCATTCAGCCCGGACTGCCTCCCACAGAGCAATGAGTGATGTGTTAACTGTACTACACCGCTTACCAAGGACAGGCTTTGTTATAGCGTCATCATCTATTTGGCTAATATTTAATATTAACACAGGGTTCCAGCTTCCCTCTCCTTGAAAGAGAACTAGGAAGTTAAAAAGGGAGTGAAACTGCTTGTTTTCTTATCTCAGACCCACATCGCCTACAGCAAAACACACAGAATGCACAGTTCTCTCAGGTACAGTTAAAAGGTAACTAGATCTCAGAGAAACTGCTGCAATGGGCGGATCAGAGAAACTCCCCCATCTCCCAGGCCTTGCTCTTCAACCTGAATCCTCCTTCCAACAGAAACCTGGGAATACAACTAATAATATCATGACAGGAAGAAAGATACCAAGGCAGACCTGCTCCTTCCTTTTGAAGGGCCTTGAAAGGATCTTGGTTTTGGTGGTGGTTGTGTGCGTGTGTATTTGTGTGGGGAGTGTGTTTTTTAAAAGCTGCTTTCTCTCCAGCTGTGACTAACAACTTCCTTTAAAAGGAAAAAAAAATTAAAAAAAAAGATTCCTCACATAGTTGCTCAACTCCAGCAAACAATGCTAAAAAAATAATGTGATTCAGAAGCTTTTGATAAAGGAGCCAGCAGCACACAACACCCAAGTTCTCTTCAGTATCTGAAATCAGGGAGAGAAGCATTTTGCCAAAACTCAGCCTTCAATTAGCTTGATTTTATACTGAAATGCAGAGTGGCTGTATAATGAAAATAAGAAACAGTCATACAAGTTAGCAGCAAAAAGGTTGAATTAAAATCCCGCTGAACAAGATGGGACTTTTCCCATTAAATTTGTAGAATATTCCTATTCCTCTCTGGTTATATTGGTAGATAATTCCACTTGTCTCTTTTCCTCAGATGATTCTCGACAAAAAGCTTTTTTTGTGTGTTTTTTGTTTTGAGTCATTTTAAGAGTACGCATTTATTCATTACTCGAGAAAACCTTCCTGTATTGAAACAGCAAAGCAGACACTTTAGTCAGCTGCATTTTGAGCTGTCCTGTCAAGGTCATAAGCCATCTTCTAATTCTTTAATTATCTGTTCGTAGTATCACCCTCTCCTGATCTTTTATCGGAAAAGATGATCTGGCCTCCCTGATCTTGCCTGAGGAGCAAGAGAGCAGGAGAGGAAGTGCTCAAACCCTCACTTTAGCCATGGAGAACACATGCAAAAAAACGCAGAGGCAACTTGTCTGCTGGCACCAAGACAGCTTCTTCAATGACTGCCGAAGAAAGGACCCTTTAAGAGGCTGCTGGCTAGTTCTTTTTCAGATTTCCCTTTATTAGTAATCAGGTTTTACTGCACTTTCCATTTCTCCAAGGGATGACTTCTGAATAGGAGGAAAGGGGAAAAGTACCTCTCTGAGCCCCAAGTTTTTCCCTATTGTAGTAGCGGTTGTTTTGCTCTCCTCTTCCTTCTGCTTCTCCACGCTGCTTTTATTGTTCCTGGAAACATCCATCCCACCCAGGACACCTGGTTGTGGATGCTGAGACCAGCTGACAGAAGAGTCAGTCTCTCTGAAATGCAAAGGAGACACCTGGGAATCCAGGGGAATAACTGGGAGCTACCTAAGCAGGGGAGAGGAAATGAGATGTGAGCAGAGCCCGGCTGTGCGGGCCGCGGTTATCCTATCTCCAAGCCAGAGGGAAGGAATAGTTCCAGTTGTTAGTCATTGTGAGTAGCTGTCGTCCAGCTGTACACAGCCACCTGTTGATGAATCAGTACAATCCAAACACCTCACCCACTGCAATAACACATGTATCATCTCCTGTGATCTCCAGAGGCTGCCGCACCACAGGGATACGAGCGGGGACTTGAATGGCCAGGGCAGGCCCTGGCCGGATGTTGAGTCTCCTCCAGGGTCGGGTGTGCTCACAGAAAGCTGACGTTTCCCTGGCTCTTTGTTCCCAAGTGGAGTGGGACCGTGTTAACTACCCGCTGCCTGGCCCGGGAGCAGAAATCAAAGGAAAACAAAGCAGGATTGTACAAAGGGCTCAGGGTGGCTGCAAGGGTGGGTGTTAGACCTGTCCACCCACTTCCTTGAGAGAATTCCCAGAGCAACGTGGGGAGCCTCCACCACGGAGACTGCAGCCTGGGCTTCTAGAGATGTCCCCTTCCTCCATGTCCACCTGCCAAGTCCCCAGCGTGGGGCTGCTTACCTGGCCTCCCTGCCTTGCTCGCTCTCTAGCCGCCTTGCCCTTTCGGCCTGGATCTCCTCACAGATGGCAGCGTACGATTTATCTGACGGATGCTCCCCCATCACCCAGACCCAGACGTCGTTGTCGGCCCCGAGCTTCCATTTCACTGACTTCCCGCTGGCTGGAAGAGAAGGAGCCTTTTGGCTGCTACTGTTTGCTCAGCCACCCCATGCACCCCACGTATCTGTGCCCTTCTGGTTGTTGCCGCTGGCAGCGCCTTTCTTAACACACTTTATGTGGCACAAAGCAGGGGGGCATCTGTGGCCAGGGAGTTGTAGGTGGTTTAGTGCCCCCCATGTTAGAAGCTGGCTTGGCACAGAGCACAGACCCACATCCCCTTTTCATTTCACAGTTCATTTTGCAATGCCAGAGCCAGGGTTATTCTCAGTCAATACAGGAGGTGCTTCTGAGCCCAAAAGCAAGGAAGGAGGTACCACCATTTCCTTTCTTCCTGTAATTCCTTGCCAGAGGACTGTGTGAGGCTGGGATACCTTCACAGGGAGAAGGTAGGAGGAGGTGCCTGGAGGAAGAGCTGCCTTCCTGATGGCTGTGAGCCAGCATGCTCCATAATCCAGGCAAAGGGATTTCGGGTCTCAAGAGCCCAGGTAACACCAAGTTCCCATATGTCACAGGCTTGTTGCTAGCGCTCCAGGACACGCATTCACATCCACGGTTATTTTAAACACAGATTCGGAAGCTACATTCAGCGAGGCGCTGGTGCATCTCGTGTCCCAAGGGACAAATAAATGGTGTCTTCCCAGGAAAGGGGAATTGGTGACTTGGTGAAGGACAGAGTGCCTGCTCCTGGGCAAGAGGGTGAAATGAGCTGGATGCCTATCCAGAAGTACCCCCATGGGAGACGAGTTTTGTTACTGTTTGGGAAGATGACTATTATATGGCCCTAGGTAAAGAAATGACTCTGGGGCCACGTTGCCCCCTCTACCTAGGGAGCAACTTACCTTTTCTCAGGGGTGGCTTCTTGGCTGGAACCTTGTCTGCAGCAGCTTCTCTTTCCTTCCACCGTCTGATCTGCTCTTGCCTCATCTTGAAGAAGAGGATCTGCTTCTGCTCCTCACTGAGTTCTGCCAGCAGCTCAGGGTCAATGTACATGTCCGATAATATCTGTTTCAGCATGGCTGGAGGTTTCGGTTGCACACCAAGGATCTCCAGGGGTCAGTTCTTCCCAGCCGGAGCGTGTCGGCGCTGATGATCTTTTTTTATAGCTCAGACTTCCTGCACAGACTGAAAGAAAAAAAAAAAAAAGAAAAAAAGAAAAAAGTAAATGAGGGCTTGAAACCTGCTCTTAAGATGCCTGGAAATAAGAGGTGAGCTCAGCTCACACAGAGCCCCCACCTGCTCTGGCCAGAAGGGAAGAGTGTTCTGGAGGGTGCAGGTTGTGTGCATGCCCTGATAAATCGAGCTGATACCGTATCAAAACAGGGAGAGAGCTGCGTGTTACTGTCAGCAGTGGTGGTGCTTGTCCGTGCCCAGGCAAACACTCCTGCTGGGCAAGGGATCAATGCGCCCGGG